TGAGGATTTGGGTTTGCTAGAGGATAGAGTCATGCCAATTGATGAGTATGTATGGATCATGTATTTTGATGGGGCCGTAAATTTGTTAGGATCAGGTATCGGGGCAGTTTTAATATCCCCAGGCGGACAACATTATCCAGTGGCGGCAAAACTGATATTTCCTTGCACGAACAATATCGCTGAATATGAAGCATGCGTCCTCGGGTTACAAGCTGCAATCGAAATAGGAGTAGCTCGACTTAAGGTGTTCGGAGATTCAGCCTTCATTATTCTTCAGACCGTTGGTACGTGGCAAACTAGAGATGCTAAGTTGCAGCTCTATCACGCCTATTTAGAGGAGTTGGTGGAAGAGTTTGAAGACAATTCGTTTGAATACTTATCAATGACTCAAAACCATTTTGCCGATGCTCTGGCTACATTATCGGCAATTCTACAAGTGACAAATGGGTTAGAAGTTGAACCTTTAAAGATAGAGGTCTTACAGAAACCGACTTATTGCATGGCCACGACAGAAGAGCCCGACGGCAAACCGTGGTATCATGATATCAAGGCATATCTTCAAACACAGGAGTTTACTGAGAAAAGTACCGCATCTGACCAAAAGTATATCAAGAAAATGGCGTCGAAGTTCTTCTTGAGCGGAGAATGCCTATACAAGCGGTCCTATGATTCGGTTTTATTAAGGTGTGTTGATTCAACCGAAGCTGTTCGTTTGATGCTAGAAGTACATGAGGGAGTATGTGGTCTGCACATGAATAGTCATATGCTAGCAAGGAAGATAATGAGGATGGGTTATTATTGGCTCACTTTAGAGAGTGATTGCATTCAGCATGTCCGGAGTTGTCACAAATGCCAGATCCATGGTAACAAGATTAATACTCCTCGGAATGAATTGCATCAGATGTCTGAACCATGGCCATTTTCTATGTGGGGCATTGATGTGATTGGCCCAATCAATCCTAAAGCGTCAAATGGACATCGGTTTATCCTGGTCGCTATCGATTATTTTTCGAAGTGGATCGAGGCTATGTCCTATACGACAGTGATGGCCCGGAATGTGGTGAAGTTCATTCGTCGAGACATCATTGCTCGATATGGTGCACCTGAGACCATAATTACTGACAATGGGTCAAATCTAAATAATAAATTGGTGGATGATCTGTTCAAGGAGTTCAAGATCAAGCATCTGAATTCCTCTCCATATCGTCCGCAGATGAACGGAGCGGTCGAAGCAGCCAACAAGAATATCAAGAAAATTTTGGCTAAAATAGCTGAGAACTATCGTGATTGGCATGAGAGATTACCTTTTGCACTTATGGCATATCGGACTTCTATCCGGACATCTACAGGGGCAACTCCATATTCTCTTGTATACGGTATGGAAACAGTTCTACCTGTTGAGGTTGAAATTTCTTCGTTACGTATTCTTTCACAGGTACAATTGTCAGAAGCATATTGGATCCAGCAGAGATTGGATCAATTGAACATGATTGATGAGATAAGGCTTAGAGCTCTATGTCATGGCCAGTGCTACCAACAACAAGTTGCTAAATCTTTCAACAAGAAAGTCAAGCCTCGACATTTTCAGGTAGGTGACCTTGTCCTGCGGAAGTTATTGCCGATAGTTCCTCTTGCAGAAGGAAAATTCGCCCCAAATTATGGCGGCCCGTACATTGTGAAGAAAGTCCTTCCAGGAGGTGCTTTGATTTTGGCCGAGATGGATGGTCGTATTTTTTCCAGTCCAGTTAATTCTGATTCTGTGAAGAAGTATTACATTTGATTTGTACTCATTCTGACTTTGTTTCTATCAAGTCTCAAATTGAATTTCATGAATCAATTGACTTTCTTGTTATGTTACTAAGCTTTGTTTAAGGAAAGCTTTTGATCTGGCAATCTGTTTCTGTCCTAATGAAGCGATCATATTGCATGAGAGACTTCAAGATGACGAAAGGCAAGCCATTTCCATACACGTCCTGAATAATAATCCCCAGTACGAGTTGAGTGAAAATTTCGTGCTGACAAGGTAAAGGATTATCTCACGAAAAGTATGACGACCAAAATGATGAGAGGCATTCATTCCCTATATCTAAACACTACAGGTTATCATTTGCTTAACCCTTTGAACAGAGTTTCATTTGTTACCCCTATAAGGAACAACCCCATACCGGGGCAATTTCTTAGAAAGTTCAAAATGGATAGAAATTTCTTGCTTTCACTTGCATCAATCTTCAAGTATATTTACTGCATGCAAATTCTGTGTTAGCTCGAGTGCCTTAGATATGACGAAGAGCATTTCTTTCTATATCCTTACACATTATACCCTTTGCATACCCAATTTGAGCGGTGAATTCATTTCAACCCGATTGATGATCATTCTCATGATAAACAAATGAAATCATCTCGAAGCAAGTTCAAGGTGACTTGAGGCAAATGGGAGCTCAAAAGAAAATTCATCAGGAAGGACGCAAAAGGACTCCATTAAATCAAAGTTCTCTCTCTCGGAAAAAGCTCTCTTTAAAAAAAGGGAGAAAAATCTTTCGAAAAGAAATTCTCTCTCTCTAAAAAAAATGATGAGAGAAAGAAAGGCTTCGGCGAGAACTGAGTTGATATGCAAGATCATCCTTCAAGGAAAAGACCATTTGAAGGTTCATTTGTAGAGCAATCGCTAGAGATAGATCAATGGTACCAGTAGCATGATTGGATGATCACCAATTTCCATGTTCATAATACCCCCTTTGATGGAAATAGGCCATTCATTTCAAGTCTACCCGAATCTACGTTACAACCCTTACCGAAGTCGCTTCAGAATAGGACACTTGAGTTAACGTAGAGTTTCAAATGCTTATAAATGTTGCTCGAAGAAGTGCGAGCAAGATTTTTCTATCTCATTTTTTGCAGCGTTCCTGACTTATAAATCCAGAGCAGCTGGTAATATCAATTCTTTCAAAGCTATGACTCTCATGAGTCCCCATTGTGAAACCTTTGACCAAGCTTGTGTTTCAGTCCTTATAAAGACCTCTTAGATTGGCCAAGTCATACTGATTTTGAGAATATTCGAACCCTTGTCAAGCACGATAAAGAGAGTTTGAGTGATTCTTATACCCGCATCAAAGATCGGGTCAAAAGCCTTTCATTGAAAGTGAATGGAAAGTCCTTTTTGATTAAAGGTCTCTCATTTAATGTGATCAAATTGTCAAAAAGGAAGAAATTGTTGTTCTTATTGATAAATTCCCCAGTGAAGCTTGGTAATGCAGGCATATTCATGAATTATGTTTTCTTTGCCTATGCACATGTGTTATTTTAACCTTTTCTCAGGTAAAAACAGGTGCAATGCAATTGGCTCTGTCATTTTTATAACGGCAAAAGAACACTACAAGTGCCATAACTTGTGTACGGCGCTCACTTTGGTGCCATAAGTTTTTTTTGGATCACTTTAGTGCTAAAATTTTTGAAAAACGATCACTTAAGTGCTAAAATTTTTGAAAAACGATCACTTAAGTGCCAACTCCGGTGCCGTACACAATTTTTCGTCGGAAATCCGACGTGGCATTTTTTTTATTAATTTCTGGAGCTGACGTAGCTCGCCGGAGATTGGCACTTAAGTGATCGTTTTTCAAAAAATTTAGCACTTAAATGATCGTTTTAAAAAAATTTTAGCACTTAAGTGATCATTTTTCAAAATTTTAGCACTGAAGTGATCCAAAAAAAACTTATGACACTTAAGTGATCGTTTTTCCTCCGACTTGGCACCAAAGTGATCCGAAAAAAAGTTATGGCACCAAAGTGATCTCCGTACGCAAGTTATGGCACTTATAGTGTCCTTTTGCCTTTTTATAACATAAGAAGAATTCAGGTACGTCTGCTAATTATTCTTCATTGTTTCTCTTTTCGTGTTCACTCAGTGGAATAGGAGACATGATCTCTCTCATATGTTCACCAAGTGGAATAGGTGACATATCTCTTTGTGTTGCCCAGTGGAATAGACAGCATACCCCATTTCATGTTTGCCCAGTGGAACAGGCGGCATAGTTTCTCATTCCGTGTTCACCCAGTGGAAAAGGTGGCACAACTAACCTCATGCTCACCCAATGGAACATGTGACATGATCCTTTTCGTGATTGCCCAGCGGTATAGGCAACACGTCCCTTTTAGTTCTTTCTTCATATCATGCGTTATTTCGCATCTGTAGGAAACTACAGGTAACAGATAGGCAATCCTGTACCTTGAGAACCTTACTTTGAGTGGACTAGAAGTTTGGAGATCGAAGGAGTTCACAGCATTATAAAGCTTTCCCTCACTTGGGCGCTTTCTGTGCGATCCGTATGTAAGGCTCTTTCACCGCTCTTCATGAAGTGAGAAGCCTTAGCATACGTTCCTTATTGTTTGCATATCACGCATCATTGCATTTGAAAAATTGGAATTAAAACCCCCAAAAAAAAATTAGAAGAAGATCATTCATCATTTTGCATGGTTTAAATTTAGGTTTCAGTCTTTGAGCGAAACCTTTGCGAGCCTCCACTCAAAGAGGGGCAGCTGTTGACAACTAAATTTTGGAGACCCAATTAGTCATTCATTGCATAAAAATTAGGGATCGATCTCAGCCCCTAGAAAAACAATTAATTAGTTAAACTGCATATAGATTTTAGGAGCATTTATAGTAATAGGCTCACATAGTTGCATTTGCATTAAATCAATGGCGAATGGACTTAGTTAAAAGCCCACGAATAAAAAGTTTCTCCAAACTCGTTCATTATCATGGGTGGAACTTTCGCACGTGGGATATGAAGAATTTTCGGAATAGATGCATGATTTTCGGTCAATATATTTTTGGTTGGGCACTTGTGCAGAAATATCGTTCATGATTTCCTGAAGATGTCCACGATTTCATAGACTTTGTTTTTCGGATATTTGTGGAAATATGCAAGATTTTGTCGGTCAATGGAAAATAGTAAGAGCAACTGGGAAAGGAATATTCATGTGAGGACGTATATTTCAGCAATATATCTTTCTCAAAACAAGAAAGAGTATGCTGCCAAGAAGACCTCCCCGCGCCCATAATCAGAAGGAAGATATAACTCTAAGGGAGGAAAGGAATAAAATATACGTTCTGCATAAGGAAAGTTGACCACGTCCTTTCCCGAAAAAAATCTAGGTTGTCTTGCATATAAAAGGGGGAGGTCTCGGTCAACAAGGGGGGGCTTTTCTTTTGGGATCTGATCACACACAAGAAACACGAGAGATACACGTACGTGAGGTTAGAGAGAGAAGAGGTCTCTCGGCCAAACACCTTCTGGCCGAGACTCCTTCTTCGGCGCCACCCCTTACCAGCTGACCGCCGCTCTTTCCACGACGGCAAGTTGTTCTGATCTACCCCTACGCGCTTGACACTGACCTTGACGACATTTCTGTTCACCGTCCGACGACGAAGCAGCCTTGCCGAGCCTTACTGACGAACAGCCAGCCACCTCAGGCTCGAACATCTGCACCGACAACGCTGCTTGCTGCTTCGTTCCATCGCGAGCTGCCTTTCTTGTGGTGTCGTCGTTGATCCAGTTCGCCGACGCCTCTGCACTACCGTGACCAGCCAATGACTACGCCCAGTCCTAGCCGCTCGATGACGTCTCTGCTCCAGTAATCAGTCGGGAACGCGCTGCTCCGTTCCGCAACAGTTTGAGCCAATGGTGACGAACTTGCTGTGCCGCGAAGCCATTGAGCATCACCCACTGCCACCCAAGCTGTTGTTCTACACCTTTGCAGCGTTTGTAGCGTTGTGTTTCATCGTGTACGGCTCCGGGTGATACTCCACCAAACCTGGGACAAGTTCTTTGAATTCCTTGGTAAATTATTTGCAGGTTGACCAGTGAAGTCAGCAATTTTGTGTGAACTCCAGCAACGTCCAGCAAATTCGCGAGTGTCCGCGGAGTGAAGCCACCATCAAGTCCGCCATCATCCGCCGGTCCTGTTTCGGAAGCGAATCATCCTAACTAGGTCATTTTCTCGAGCCAAATTTGGTCTCCATATTTCATTTATCTAAATTGGGTTATTTGATGCTAATGTGATTTTGAGTGATCAGAGCATTATCTAACTAGGATTTTATTGCGTATGAAATCAAATCTAAAAAAAAAGGGTGCCTCGCTTAATTTAAAAACTACAATTTAACTGAATATTCTTTGGAAATCTTGGATGTGTATTACTTGTCAAATTTGGATAGATTTTGAAAATTTCAAAATCTTTTGAATATATCCAAGATATTCAAGATAGCAAAATCTTTTCAAGATGTGATCGGTTAGGAAAATCTCCTAATCCGCAACTGCACACATGGGAATAAGTCTATCTATCAGGCTTTAGATAGAGTTATTTCCATAGCGGGTATTTCGAATTTTTAGGGTCGATTTGTCAAGCTTCAGATCGAAACTTAATTCGAAAGATTTAGCGGTTATAATCTTTCTACTAAAAGATTTGTGACTTGAATTTAAATTTAAAAATGCATCAAAAATACAAAAAAAAAATTCATAAAAAGAAAAACCAAAAAAAATTTTGCACCTTTGAACTCTAAATCAGAATTCATCAAAATTGCCGAATTGAGCATTTTTCTTGAGATTGGTACCGAAAGGACGTTAGGGTAATCTAGCGTAACCAAGTCCCCGGATTTATAATCTCTGGTTCGTAGAAATAAAATAGTACTCCCGCTATTTTATTTAGGTTTCTAATCAACCTACCTTAAATGATTAGTGGCGGCTCCCATTGAAAATATTTGCATGCTCATAATTGGACCTAAGTTGCGAATTGGTAGAGTTTGGGAGAACTCGAGCTAGGTTAGTTAATTTAATTGATCTAGTAATCCATTAGCCTAAGATTGGAAAACCTGATTTTTAGGTCGCGACATGGCAGACGTGGGCGGAAGGGACGTGCGGGCAGGGGGGGCGGGGGAGGCGCGGGCGCAGAGGAGAGAGAGAGAGAAAACGCAAAAGTCAATGCCATCGAGTGCGATCCAACGGCCAGAATTCAAATCTGAAAACGATCCTACGGTCCAAATTAATCCTAAAATTTAATTAAATCAAACTACCCGAGGGAGGTCTACTAGTCCAAATCCGCACCCGGTCAAAAATTCACTTTTCCACTATTCCTGGCAATATCGACGCTGGCCACAATAATATCGACACCGTCCAATTAAATTCATCCCGGAACTCCGAGAAATTCGACACCAAAATTTGGGCTCTAAATAACGATCAAATTCGATCGATTGTGATTCTAGCGAAATCTCAATTTTAAAACAATAAACGAGAGTGATCAGTTCCCGGACGAGATTCTACTATAAGCACACTGACGAATTACACATTTTATAAATCCCAAAAATGGGCCGAAATTCGGAATGTCACAATTCATTCATAAATTCTCCCTTGTTAAGTGTAGCAGGATTAAAATACTATTAAGTTTGCAAATCATGCGGATGAAATTCATTCAAAACTCCTTAAGTAAGAGAATATAGTAATCTATTTTGTCCCCAAACAATGGTTAAATATATTGGTAGCTTCTACTTAACCGGGTACTACTTTATATTATTTTAGCAAACAAGACTATTATTAGAGATAATTAGGATATTTATTTTGATTCTCCATATCTCTTGAGACTATATATACCTTGATAGTACATGTCTCTGATTGATTGTGATCGATATCATGATTATCTCGTTACCTTAAATTGTCATAATTTAAAGCCTATGAATAAGTTCATATACACTCCATTATATATACAACTACTTAACTTTCTCTTCTTCATTATTCTACTCTATGCAAGTTTGACATATATTCAACACTACTCTATCGAGCAACCACTCCCAAATTCTATCCTCAACCATAATTTTGCATTTATACTTAATCACTTAATTTTATGCATGCATAAAGTGTCACGCCCCGAACCCCGACGGGCTCGCGACACCCCTTCGACGGTCGTATTGAACGCGACGTCCCAGGACGCGTCGCCGACCCAAACGAAATACCCAAAGTCGTACGCAAGCAGAAGCGAAATTTAAACAACCCAAACAATAAAATAATGACCAAAGGGTAGCACTACAACATTCACAAATACACAACATCAAAAGGGACCAGCAGTTGGGTAGCCTACTACACTATACAAGAGAGGGGCACCCAAAGATGAGACGAAGCATCAAATGCCCAAGGTCACTCCCGGTCTCTGAACCGCACATGACGACTATCCGTCACTCCAAACCTGAAAATATTTTAACAACGGGGGATGAGATAAATCTCATTAAGTAGACAACCTATACCCCACCTATGCCAATACGTACCCATACGAGTTTAACGTGTAATTCACCAGCCAACACAATCAATTTTCACACAACAAACTTACCTCGCCACGATTCCCATACTAGCTCTGCACATTAGTCAAATCACATGAATATCATAATAACTTATCAACACATCGCTATCATTTGGGCGCCATATACATACGTACATTCACTCAATTCAATCACACTCAATTCGCATGCGTGGCCGATCAACTTTCCACGACCTGGGTCAACACCCCACAGGTCAGCCCTCCGATCAAGCCGGGCTCCGTCCCTCACTGGACCTTTCACACTTTCACACGACTCGCGTCAACATGCCTCAGGTCAGCCCCCAAATCAAGCCGGGCTCCGTTCCTCACTGGACATTTCACTCTTTCACACGACCCGCGTCAACACGCCTCAGGTCAGCCCTCAAATCAAGTCGGGCTCCGTCCCTCACTGGACATTTCACATGAGGATGAAGATGATGCTCATGAAGAAGATAAAGATCAAGACGGAGATGAAGACGAAGATGAAGGTGAAGATGAAGGTGAAGATGAAGATGACGAATATGATTTTTGAGACTTTTTACTAATTATGTGTAATTATTATTATTATTGCGACATGTGTTTTTTGTTGTTGTCATAATTTTCATTATTGTTGTTGTCGTAATTATTATTGTTGTTGTTGTTATTATTAGAATCCGTGGCTAATTAGCCTCAGATTTAGCCACGGAATTGAAATAGTTGGGAAAAAGCCACGCGACTATATTTCCGTGGCAAATTTCCCACGAATTTAGCCATGAATTTCAACAAAAGGTTGTCTCTGCCGGAGGCCTTATTTTTGTGGCAAAATTCGTGGCAAATTTGCCACGAAAATAGTACATAGTACAATAATTGCCACGAAATCCAAAAAAAGCCGGTTTTGCCGAAAAACTTCAATTTTGTCGCATGAAAATAGTATATAGTGCAATAATTGCCCGGAAACTTGTATTTTGTGGAAAAATTTGTGGCAAATTTGCCACGAATTTTGCCACGAAAATAGTACATAGTAATATTTGCCCCGAAACTTGAATTTCGTGGCAAAATTCGTGGCAAATTTGCCACGAATTTTGCCACGAAAATAGTACTTATAGTCACATTTGCCAGGAAACTTGAAATTCGTGGCAAATTTGCCACGAATTTCAAGTATATAGGAGAATTATTGCCCCGAGGTTTTGAAATTCGTGGCAAAATTCGTGGGAAATTTCCCACGAATTTTGCCACGAATTTCAAAAAAAGCCCGCCAACGCCGGAAATTTGAATTTCGTGGCAAAATTCGTGGGATATTTCCCACGAATTTTGCCACGAAAATAGTATATAGTGCAATAATTGCCCGGAAACTTGAATTTCGTGGCAAAATTCGTGGCAAATTTCCCACGAATTTTGCCACGAAAATAGTACATAGTAATATATGCCACGAAAATAGTACTTTGTCACATTTGCCCGGAAACTTGATATTCGTGGCAAAATTTGTAGCAAATTTGCGACGAATTTTGCCACGAATTTCAAGTTTATAGGAGAATTATTGCCCCGAGGTTTTGAAATTCGTGGCAAAATTCGTGGGAAATTTCCCACGAATTTTGCCACGAATTTCAAAAAAAGCCCGCCAACGCCGGAAATTTGAATTTCGTGGCAAAATTCGTGGGAAATTTCCTACGAATTTTGCCACGAAAATAGTATATAGTGCAATAATTGCCCGGAAACTTGAATTTCGTGGCAAAATTCGTGGCAAATTTCCCACGAATTTTGCCACAAAAATAGTACATAGTAATATTTGCCCCGAAACTTGAATTTCGTGGCAAAATTCGTGGCAAATAAAGATGTTCGGCTTCGCGGGCTTTTTTTGAAATTCGTGGCAAGTTTCCCACGAATTTTGCCACGAAAATTGTACATTGTACAATATTTGCGCCGAGACTTGACTTTTGTGGCAAAATTCGTGGCAAATTTGCGACGAAAATAGAAACACATGTTTATATTCTTCAGCCGTCCACCTCGCCTCTACCGAGTAATTTTAGCCCAACCAAATCTCCTCATCGCCGTCCACCTCGCTGTCCTCGTCGTCGTCGAGTTCACCCAGAGTCGACGCCATCCTCCTCGCCGTTGCCGCCCTCACCGTCCTCCTCGCCATCCACCTCGCCGTTGAGTTCGCCCAGAGTCGACGCCGTCCTCCTCGCCATCCACCTCGCCGTTGAGTTCGCCCAGAGTCGACGCCGTCCTCCTCGCCGTCGACGCCAGCCTCCTCGCCGTACACCTCGCCGGTGGACTAAATCCTCCCTCCTCCTCCTTCCCACACCTTCTCCGTGTGTACTCGGACGAAGGAAGGGGAAGCTCGGTCCAAGTGAAACTAGCCCGGCGGGGTAGGTAAGCGAGCTCGATTCCTTGAATAAAATGGTGTCGCGGCCGTGATTCCAAGGGGGGGCTCGCGGCCGTGATTTCGGGGGGGAGGGGGGGTCGCGGCCGTGATTCCGGAGGGTGGGGTTGCGGCCGTGATTCCGGAGGGGGGGTCGCGGCCGTGATTCCGGAGGGTGGGATTGCGTTCTCGGCTGTGTCTTTGGCTGGAATTTGCTTCTGCAGAGGAGGGATTGTGCTTTGCATTGTTGGGCGCAATTAGTTGCTGTTTTTTTGTTTTGTTTTTGTGGGTCAGTGGAAAGAAGGTAGGCTTAGAGAGGAGGAGGAGGTCTAGTTCTACATTTCGCCTGCAGAATAGCTAATTCAGACAAGATTTCTCATGAAATCTGGCTTCTACACCTGCTAATTTTGCACGACCTGCACTGTTGTCGATTTTTTTTAATGATTTTTCTGCTAAGATCTAAACTTAGGTAAAAGGAAGCTTAAACAGGGAACAAATTAATGGGTTGCATTCGTGGCAAATTTGCTTGTTGAACGTAATTTGTGATCTTTTTTCTAGGTCTGTACTAGAACTTTGCGAAATGGGATATTCGGGGCATATATTTGCACAAATGTGGCATCAGACTTGATACTTGTTGTGATTCGTTTTGCACATTTAATATGCTTCCTTTTATTTTTCGTGGAATCTGATGTGGTCAAAATTTCAATAGGTTCCTCCGACGAGGGCTAGAGATTGCTATTTATCAGAGGCGATAGTCTGTTTGTTTCATTTTCTCAAGTTTATTTCTTGCTCTCTAAAACAAAATG